TTACTATTATGTTACTATTATGTTACTATTATGTTACTATTATGTTACTATTATGTTACTATTATGTTACTATTATGTTACTATTATATTACTATTATGTTACTATTATGTTACTATTATATTACTATTATATTACTATTATATTACTATTATGTTACTATAATGTTACTATTATATTCTTCTTTTAAATTCAACTATTTTCAATATTTAATATTTTAATTTTAATTCATTAAATTTCAACAAACCGAGCCGCTCACGTCATAGTGAAGGATATACGTCATAGAATTGGCAGCCGAATGTGTTCTGTGTATCAAGATGGTGAGGAATCCACGTTAATGTGAAAGAGAAACAATTTTAGCATCACTCGTCTGAGCAGTTGCTAAATTTGAAATGAATTTACTTAAAAATATACATATTAGCATCTAGATAGAATCATCGCTATATACGATTTGCATATATACAGCCTTTTTTCACCTCGAGTATATCGTAACCTTGTAAAAAATATCATTCTTAGTCTCTAAGAAACTATGACGAAGTCTGAGAGAATATAACGTTGATTAAATATATCAGATCAACGCTGTAGTGGGAAAATATTTATAGTTTACTATTAACCAGAGTGCAAGAAAGAGAGTTCAGTATGACAGAAGCAGAAAAGATTAAACTAAACAGAGTCCCCTTCCTGCTGTGTATACAACTTTTGTTTTACTAATCCTACGTGTGTGGTTGGTGTTATTGTAGTGCTACAAGTACCGGTTAAAGTTTGACCAGGCAGCGCGGAGTCGAATGAGGGAGAAGGTAGCAGCTAGCAACATATTCAAGAACCGAAAAGATGGCTACTTGAAAAGGTGAGCTGACTACAGACGACACCGTTCGCATGCGCACGCACCGTGTGTGTGCGTGTGTGTGTATGTGTGCGCGCGTGCGTGCGTGAGTGCCTCACGCCGCATATGTGTGCGTGTGTGCGTGCGTGTACGTGCGTGTGCGTGCGTGCATCACGCCGCATATGTGTGTGTGTGTGTGTGTGTGTGTGTGTGTGTGTGTGTGTGTGTGTGTGTGTGTGTGTGTGTGTGTGTGTGTGTGTGTCGTCGGCGGTATGCGTTATGTTGGGCGTGCGTGCGTGGCGTGGCCTCACGCTGCATATGTGTGCGTACTAAACTAAATTGGCAACCAGTCGGTTATTTGCAGCTTTACGGGGAAATTATTACGAGCTATTATCAGACGAATATAGCTTTAGAATTCATTTACTAATGTATCATTAAGTATCTAAGTTTCCAAGTAGCTGGGCGCGTAACGCCTGTCGATAATTTCAATCTAGCGAGGGACGGGGGATTCCATACGGTGAACGCATGTCGCGTGTTTAACGCTTGACTCGTGTTTTATGTTCAACCACCGTATTAAACGTAATACTGTTGTGGTTTAAGCTTGCAGTTATATGGTTGAAGATAGGGTCAGGGATAGAGATAGGCTTATTGCTAGTTATAGGATTAAGATTGGTGGAGATGGTGGTAGCTAGCGAGTACGTGTACCCATCAATTCTCCATCTCTCACTTCATCCATCCATCCATCCGTCCATCCATCTACCCGTGCATTCATCCACCCATCCATCCATCTAATAAGACTATCCATCCATCCATCCATCCATCCATCCATCCATCCATCCATCCATCCATCCATCCATCTATCCATCGCTCGCATCCATCCATGCCATGCCATCCATCCATTCCATCCATCCATCCATCCATCCATCCATCCATCCTATCATATCTATCCATCCTCCATCTGATTCCATCATTCATCCATCCATCAATTCAATCAATCCATCGCATCACATCCATCCAATCTATCTTATCCATCCATCCATCTTATCATCTATCCATTCCATCCATTCATTCAATGCCATCCATCCATCCATGACCATCTATTTATCACCATCCATCCATCTATCCATCTATCCATCCATCCATCCATCAATCCATCAATCCATCCATCAATAAATCTAAGGTTAAAGATAGGGTTAGGATTAGGATTCGGGTTATGAATAGGTATAGGGTCAGGGATTAGGATAGGTTTAAAGCTATAGGGCTTGCATACTAGGGTTATGCTTGGGATTAGGAATAAGGTTAGTGTTAGGGTTAGGTTTAAGATCAGGATTAGGCTTAGAATTAGGATTATGGTTAGGACTAGGTTTATGGTTTACGATAATATGGTGAAGGCTTACATAATGGCTGACTGACGCCGTCTGTTATCGACTTCCCCGCAACCCCCCAGCGTGCGTGCGTGCGTGCGTGTGCGTGCGTGCGTCTGACGTCACGTGTGTTTCTGTCGGCAGCGTCGGTCATCCGTTCCGCGGTGACTACGTCAGACTTCGCTCCAACTACAAGTGGAAGAAGGCGTTCGAAGACTCGCCGGACAACTACGTCGTTTTCGCTGACATGGTGCTAAAGATCAAACAGGTCGACGGGAAGGTCAGCAAAAGGTCGTAGCGATGATGTCATCGCGTTTATGACGTGTGACTGTGATGTCACGATGAGCATGGGGGGTGGGGGGCGTTTCATAGATTTTTTTGAATTTTTGAGAGTCAGTCTTTCTTTCGTGGCAGTGGCGGCACGTGGAGATTTAATTTTTTTTTTTTTTTTTTTTTTTTTATTTTTATTCATTTATTTATTTATTTAGTCATTCATTCATTTATTTATTCATTTATATATATATATTTATTTATTTATTTAATTATGAGGATCATCAATAAAGCTTTTTTTCATGCTGAAATGTGGCGTCTGCTAGTGGGTGACGTCACACGTATGTAGCGTGTTGTATCTAGTAACCGTCGGTAGCAGATGTCGGCTGCGCTCATTTGCATTTTTACTCACGCTGAGCATTTCTCACACATGCCTCTAGTCCGGTTGCCAATGACTGAACGTTGCAATCGGGCCCTTGGCAATTTTTTTATCACAAAAAAATGCAGATCATGTATTTTCCATCTGAGTGCGTAGTATTAGCTTAAGGGGGTAGGCATGCTAAACTTGCAATAACTCCTGTAATATTCGGTCAATCTTCAAACGTTTGGTAAAACTCCCCTCCTCTGCTCCTCCCCCCCCCCACAGAATACAGCCAACCTACTTGTGATGTCGACCAACGCCCTCATTTTTTTCAAAACGGTGCTGCATGCTGAAACGCGGCGTCTGCTAGTAAGTGACGTCACACGTAGTAGCTGTCGCTAATAGCCGTGGTTCGTGCGTTTGCATTTTTATACTCACGCTGAGCATTTCTCACACATGCCTCCCCCTCCTCTGCCTCCGCATAAAAAAAAAAAAAAAAAACAAAAAAAAAAAAAAAAAGGAAAAAAAGAGAAAAAAGAAAGAAAAAAAAAAACAGAGGGAAAT